GTTATTGATAGCCAGAGTCAGGTAGCACTTTATCAACTTACTGAAACCTGGTTTATGTTTCATGTCACAAAAGTAAGAAGTAGCATTCCAACCTGCTAATCATATTTTTGCTTCCCCTGTTCCCTACTTCACTGTTTTTGCTTCAACTTATTAAACTTTGAGAAAGTTCTGTAAATCTATTTTTGCTTGCTTTGTTTGGGGAGTCTTTAATGAGTGAGATGCAATGATGTAGCCTAGAGAGCATTTGGTGTCCCTTGCAGGTGTGACGCTCACGGAGTACCCGAGTGGAGAAGAGAAACCCGCTCTGCCACCTTGGACGGGTAAACAACCAGACCTTGTTGCTCTGTGCATTTGTGGTTACTGACTCTTTTCTCATCTTGTTATGCTGTGAATGGTGTTGCTGTGCAAAATTATTTCTACTTTGTCTTTTCAGTGTAACAATGTACTCCTCCATTTTTTTTTACATGGAATGCACCTTGCACTTTTTGTATGTGTATCTGTCTGTATGTTTGTGTGTATGGCTGTGTATCTGTATTTTTATGTGTGCATTTGAATGTGTGCATAGATGCACAGGTATTTATGAATATGTGCCAGGATGCACAAGTATTTATTTATATAAATAATATACATCTGTATGTATGCATGCTTATATGAAGTGCATGATTTTTCCTAATCATATTTCAGAATACAAAAGGTCAAGCAAGTAATCAAAGCATCTTAAGCAACATTCAGGACACTGATATGATTTGGAACTAATTTTAAACTTTTTAATTTTTTCTCCCTCTTCAAAACAGGGCTGTTAAAATATCTTGTATTTTTTATATGTATTATTAGCAATGTAGGGATGTAGGTTATTTTCTTGTAATTCTGTTTTTTAAATATGAATGGATAGATGATTTTCTTGTATTTCCTGTTTTTAAATAAAAATGTCCGGGTTTTGATCTGCATGATTAACAAAATTAGTTTGCATGCATGTGTTTACCCTCTCGTGACTGGAACCCCAGTAGCTATTCTATACCATGTGTCAGGGTGTGTGCAGAGTCAAATTACCCAGCTCTCTATGCTTTTTGCTATGGTACAAAAGAATTCTTAAGGGAATGAGGTGCAATACTGTTTGGCGTTCACAACCTTAGAGCAGGATCAAAAGCACAGTGTGAGGGATAGTTTGTGATGTGATAGGACATCATACTGACATGAAAAAATACAAAGATGCAGTTGCGTATGAGAGCAAGCATGCATATACATGCATGCGCACATATGCATACACGCCCAAGCACATCCATACATACACGCACAAGCACATGCATACATACATGCACAAGCACATGCATACATATACGCACAAGCACATGCATACATACACGCACAAGCACATGCATATGTACATGCACAAACACATGCATACATACATGCACAAGCACATGCATATATAGTCGCACAAGCACACGCATACATACTCGCACAAGCACATGCACACGCATGCACACACACACACACACATGCACACACACATGCATACACACATGCACACACACATGCACACACACATGCACACACACACACACACACACACACACAACACACACACACACACACACACACACACACACACACACACACACACACACACACACACACACACACAACACACACACACACACACACACACACACACACACACACACACACACACACACACACACACACACACACACACACACACACACACACACACACACACACACACACACACACACACACACACACACACACACACACACACACACACACACACACACACACACACACACACACACACACACACACACACACACACACACACACACACACACACACACACACACACACACACACACACACACACACACACACACACACACACACACACACACACACACACACACACACACACACACACACACACACACACACACACACACACACACACACACACACACACACACACACACACACACACACACACACACACACACACACACACACACACACACACACACACACACACACATATACAAATTTAGGTTAGTTCATTTCTTAAACTTGTCGTGATAGAATTAGTGATTTGTATTTGTTATATGGGATTTATTTTTATTTAACTCTTACAAATAATACAAGTGTGATAATGTACTTTGATTTTATATTTATATTTGTATATAACATTTTGGTTTATCTACTTTATTTGCGAGTGAAAAAAATTAAAATCCATTTTTCTAATGAACAGGTAATGCGTCATATTTTTATTGTATCCATTTATAAGCATATTGCTTTGCCCACATAAACACAAATTGCAGGTTTGATAGGAATAAATGATTTTTTTTTTTTTCTTTCTTTCAGATGGGATTGGTTGTGAGCGAAGAAACAATGTATCAATCAACCGTGATGCTGCAAATAGAGCATCCTGGCCTGTGGCGTCTTCACTCCTGTAAGGGAAAATCTCTCCATTTGCTATGTCTTAATGCTTATATCCACTTTGTGTTGATGTGATTGACTTTTATCATATCTTATTATGGTTACACAGCTGATATTGTACTGTTGCAAAGATAGAAATTTGGATCATGAAGATATCCTTTGCAATAAAAGCAATCAAATTTCAACTTTGATTGAAATGAAAAATAGAAACTAAATATGATACTCTGATAGGAAAGTATACCTTCAAATCTGTTACAACTGTTTTGTCTTACTCTCCCACTATTTTGCCTAATTATCCATGTTGATTTGCCTAACCAGCATGGAAAAACTGCTTGTTGTGTGAAGTCCTCAGCATTTTTGTAAACTAATGCTGTTTTCTGATTCTTGTCCCCTGATCAGCTGGGCAGGCCTAGACGGCTTCGTGAGCGAGAGTGAGGGGGAAGAAGGGGGCAACATATCCCCCATTGGACTTCCTCAATACCGCCGCCATTCCACAGACACCACACACCTCAACCTCTGTGCCAATGCTCCTCCAGTCTCCAAAACTCGGAGCTCAGACAATATTTCCTCAGCAAGTGTGAGTATGTTTCAGGGAAAGCATGAGGCAACTTAGCCTCCTTTTTGGGATTTGAGGTAGTTGTTATGGAGAATGAAGTCTAGATAGCCTTTTATGTCTCATTTCATTTCTTCTCGGACAAGCTGCGTTCATGTCAGACATATACCAACATGCAAGTTTATCTGGATACATTATTCTCTGTTCTTTTGTAGTTTTTTATTTTTTAAAATTTGTTTTAGTTCAGAAGCTGAGAAGTTCTTTTGCCATTCAGACATTTCCTCACATTTTTAGGATAAACCTAATACATAATTTTATTATAAAAGGATCAGATCATTATTTTCTTTTATAGAATAATTTACATGTGCCTTTAAAAATTTTACACTTTGCATTCTAGATTTCTTATTCATTGTGTTGCTTACAACTCTCTCCTTGTAACACCCTAAATAATAGCTCTCCATGAAGGATATGATCTGTAAATGATTTTTTTTCACCAGAACCTTAATAAATGAATTTTGTATTTTTGTAGATTTAATGAATTGCTAAGAGAAGTGTCATACTCTGATTCTATTATCCATATTATATAGAAATTTTTCCCATGAATTAGGTAATTCATAGAAGATGTAGTGTACCAAACTGCCTTCTGTGATAAGTGAAGTATTACCACAACTTTGAGGAAAACTGAGTTTATTTTATGTTGAAAAAAGGTAATAATGAGACTAAATAATGCTGCTACAGTAGTTCCTGATATAAACACTATATATATATATATATATATATATATATATATATATATATATATATATATATATATACATATATATTTATATTTATGATTCACTTTATAAAGTATGTAATACAGTTAGGTCTGAGTGATTAGATGCAAAAAAGTAGGAAGTGATTTTTTATTGGTAATAGATATTTCAATTTTGAACTTGTTTTGAGTTTGCCTGTACTTCTGTTTGCTTAGGCCTACTTATGCAGTAGCATTCAGAAAGAGAGGTAACCCTACTTTGCTCCTCCATTGCAGTTAAGCATTATAGTATACCTAGTAGAAGTTGCATAAGAGAAAGGAGTATGTAAAAATCCTTGATTTAAGACTTATGGGAGCCATAAGAATCCTTGACTTATGACTTAGGGCAGCCCATTAGAATCCTTGGCCTGAGTCACCTCTTCTGGTCTGCAGAGCAATGGTGAGGCAAGTGGCACCAAAAATGGCTGCTTGGACAGTAATCTTCAGCGACTCCTGCTGCTCAACTCCATCCTGCCATCCTCGTCCCCCCCAACACCAACCTCCCAGTATTCGCTCTTCAGTCCCACCAGCTGAACAAACACTTCGAAAAAAATTCTTATGTAAGCTATTTTCTTCTTTATGAGTGAGAGCATTCACAGCAATGGACAGCTTGGCAGCATTTATGCTTTGATGATGTACAACTAGTGTCATTAGGGAGAAATTGTCCGCAGTGTTTGTCTCTAAGCTCAAGAGGAGAGGAAGGAAACAGACAATGACTGTGGTTGACATCAGTTATTTTGATAGGATGTCAGGCAGAATGTCACTGTTGTCACAGGGCTCTATAGCATAACCATAAAAGGTCTTCAGAAGACAAGTATTGTTACATTGTTTCCATATCCTATTTAGGATTGCAGTAGAGGAAGCATATACTGAGACCTGCCTAACACTTACCTGTTATGGTTGTACGTTTTACCTTGTGAAGCAAACAAGAAACCTTACATCATCACATTCAAACTTGACCTCAAACCAAAAAGATTTCGGTATACTTCCAGTTTTGTTGCCATTAGTTCAGCATAGTGGAAGGAAGGGTTGTGCCTTGTGAGATAGTTGTTAACCTGTGCATAATACTGAGTAGTCCTTGGTGATAGTAGAAGTGTTGTCCTATTGCTCCTGACTAAATATATAATTTTCCCCCCTCTCCTTCAGTTAATCTAGTAAATTAGTTTATTCTTGATATGTATGTCAGTATGAAAGTGCTGAATTGGCTCTGGCATGTCAGGAACATGTGCTGCCTAATCCTAAAAATAGTGATGACCACAGTTAGGAATTTAAGGGTTCCATGCACTGAATTACAACAGAATAAAGGACAATTTCATAGATGTTTGTAATTTGTAAGTTACATGGACAGGAAATGTCCACAATCACTTACATAGTTTCTTGCAATGAAGGGAATTTTTTTTTCTTGTAGTTGCTTTATCCTTAATAGGTGAAGTTAATATGATGGTGAGAATAAGGCAGTGGCAGGTAAAATGTATATAGCATTCGCAGGGAGTTTTTTTTTTTTTTTTTTTTTTTTTTTTTTTTTTTTTTTCTTTTCTTTTTTGTACCTACATAGCCCAGTGAAAGGCTTTGGAAGGTTTCTTTGGAAAATGTTAGGAAGGCCGGACAGTAACTTGTAGGTCCTTGTTTGTACGGGCAGAATTGAGCATCAAGTTGCTCTGGATATGTTCTGAGATCATGGTGGTAGGAGTCAAGGTGGAGTGGACAACATGAAAAAGAAGTCAACTGGGCAATTGTTCTTTTTGTGGAAGGGCTTAGACAAGGAGTGTGTGCAGCTAAGATTCTTTTACTTTCTTTCTGTATCTGCCATGTCATATTATAATGAAAGAACATTATTAAAGAAAACTGCAACATTCATAATTATCTTTACAAAGAGGTCAGTGGGGTTGGATGAAGAGCCCAGAATGTCTTATTGCTTTATAATACATGAGAAGAATATTGCATGTAGCTTCATAGAGTTTATATGGCAATGGTGGCAGATTGCTTGCAGTGGACACAAGGTAGTGCATAGAGATCTCCAATGGTAATTTGAAACATAATTCCTAAGAAAATATATTGCTTTTGATAGTGATTCAAGTCAAAAGTATTTCCTAAATGTGGCCCAAAACTGTCCTGGATGATAAGTTGTGGGTCAGTGATGTCAGATTTATGCAGTATCTATGACAAGCTAAAAAAGAAATTCCAGAGATACCAGCTGATGTCTAACTTGTTTTACTAACTACAAAATAGGTATAGCAATGGGTTTAACCCTCATAAGTGCATATTTATTGCTCCAAAAAATTAATAAGTTTCATCTATTTGAAACATTTTTTAAAAAGTTGCAAATATCCTTTATGAGAACTGAAACCCTTTCTCAGTGTCAGTCATGAGTAAAAATAAATTGATGCAGAGAATTGTTAAACCTAAGACTGTTCAAAATACACAAACCCATTGATGCCATGAGGGTATGCATACATACCGTGGCCACTATGATTTTTATTTATTATAGATGACTCCCCCAGTGCTTAGTCTCTTATGTAATCATTTACTAGCCTACCTGATCTCATTCTATTCCTTGAATTTTTGAAAAGAGAAATTGTTTTCATTACTATTAGTATGGTTCATAGTGTTATAATAATACCATTGTCATTGATAATGATAATATTGGTAATGATATTTGTTTTAGACTTTTTCATGGAAATTCTAAGAAGGGGTAAATATGGGAAGTCATTTAGGCCTAGTTATATTGACTTTGATGACTGAGTGCTTGTGAAGCCATCTCTATATACACAAAATTGACAAAGAAAAATAACAGTGAATAATGCATGTAGCTGGTGCCAGTGGGTTAATAAGAATAGATCAGTATATATAACCAAGGGAGTGGGGAACACAATATGTCATGCTTACTGAATTGATATCTGTATATAAAATATGGGTGTTCATACAGTTAGAAATTACAAGAGGAATATCATATGTAGGTTTTTGAAGGGGAATATAATTTTTCAAATTCCTAGAGATCTTTAATACTGATGTGTTGTCAGTATGAATGGTTTATGGGTAACTACGGTCATGTATTAGATTAACTGGGAAAATTATAATATATTTTTTTTAATGCTTAAAATCAAATCATAGTAATTTTGATCATATATCCCTTAATTTACTTGACAAGAAAGCTTAAAGGATAAGAAAATTGAGCAAGATAAATTGATTGAGTAATTAATGAATCAGTTTATAACTATTTCTATCATTCTTCATTCTGTTTTTGACTGTATGTATGTGTTCCTTCCCTCTTTGGTTGAAAAGGTGAGCAGCATCTTTTGATGATGTCAGTCAACTATGATCCTGCATTGTGCCTGGAATGTCTCTTTTTCATAAGAAAGGGGCACCTTTTTGTCATATTTGGTATTTTCTTGTTGGATGCCCTTACGAACATCAACTGTGGCCCAACTTATATAGGTATGCTAATAATTTTTTTTATTTATAATTATGACTTCCACTGACATATGCTTGATGCTTGGACAGTGACATCATAAGCATCATAATTAAATTATTTTACTAAATATTCCCTTGGATTGGGTAACTGCTATAATGTCATGACTATTTCAACATTCTTATATAGCAGTTTTCAGATATCCCCATGATACCAGGTGAAAATGTTGAGATCACCATGACGTGCTATGGCATTAAGGAGATAATTTCAATGTATCCGTCTCATATTTTGATA